ATGGATTTCACGATACGGGACCATCATGCCGCATCTCACATGGTATTTTTCTTTAAAAACGACGTAAATATTACTTACATTGATTAGAATCATACGAGTCAAAGACTTGTAACATAATGCACGGAGTTGTTTGTGTGTGGGAATGCCAACTTAATTTTTTAAGGCAAAATCTACAAACACCAATTACATTATATTGATTAAAATCATACGAGTCATAGACTTGTAACATAATGCGCAGAGTTGTTTGTGTGTGTGAATGCCAACTGAATATTTTAAGAAAAAATCTACAAACACCAATTACATTACATTGATTAGAATCATACGAGTCAAAGACTTGTAACATAATGCACGAAGTTGTTTGTGTGTAGGAATGCCAACTTAATTTTTTAAGGCAAAATCTACAAACACCAATTACATTACATTGATTAAAATCATATAAGTCAAAGACTTGTAATATAATGCACGGAGTTGTTTGTGTGTGTGGATGCCAACTGAATATTTTAAGAAAAAATCTACAAACACCAATTTCATTACATTGATTAGAATCAAAGACTTGTAACATAATGCACGAAGTTTTTTGTGTGTGGGAATGCCAACTTAATTTTTTTTAAGGCAAAATCTACAAACACCAATTACATTACATTGATTAAAATCATACGAGTCAAAGACTTGTAACATAATGCACGGAGTTGTTTGTGTGTGTGGTACATTACATTGATAAGAATCAAAGACTTGTAACATAATGCACGGAGTTGTTTTGTGTGTGGGAATGCCAACTGAATATTTTAAGAAGAATCTACAAACACAAATTACATTATATTGATTAGAATCAAAGACTTGTAACATATAATGCACGGTGTTGTCTGTGTGTGGGAATGCCAACTTGATTTTTTAAGGAAAAATCTACAAATGTCAATTACCGTTACATTATGATTAAAATCAAAGACTTGTAACATATGCCAACTGATAGTTTAAAGAAATATCTACAAAGACTTGTAACATAATGCACAGAGTTGTTTGTGTGTGGGAATGCCAACTTAATTTTTTAAGGAAAAATCCACAAACACCAATTACATTATATTGATTAGGGTCATAGACTTGTAAAAATGCACGAAGTTGTTAGTATGTGGGAATGCCAACTGAATATTTTAAGGAAAAATCTACAAACGCCAATTACCGTTACGTTAACACCAATTACATTACATTGATTAGAATCATACGAGTCAAAGACTTGTAACATAATGCACGGAGTTGTTTGTGTGTGGGAATGCCAACTGAATATTAAAGAAAGATCCACAAATAGCTAGTTACACCAATTACATTACATTGATTGAATCATACGAGTCAAAGACTTGTAACATAATGCACGGAGTTGTTTGTGTGTGGGAATGCCAACTATAGATGCCTGACGAAACTATTTTAGCTGTTGATGAATTGACGAAACCATAAGTTTCGTCATTGACAAAATGACGAAACTATATGGTTTCGTCAGGTCACGTGAGTTTCGTCAGGCATCATTAATGCCAACTGAGTATTTTAAGAAAAAAACCTACAAACACCAATCACATTACATTGATTAAAATCATACGAGTCATTGGTTCTAATCAATGTGATGTAATCGCTGTTTTAGATTTTTTCTTAAAAAATTAAGTTGGTACTTTATAAGGAACCCAAAGTTTACTTAGTTAATTTGCATCGATCCTGCCGGTCTCAGAACTAATCTGGATCCCGGTCTATCGGATCATCTCGGATAGTTCTTTTTCAATGACAGGTTTATGAAATCTGTTTACATAAATAACGTATCGAATGCCTCCTAACTCTTAATAACAACCAAAAATTTTATCTTTCATAAAACTTAGACTTAGACTTAATTTCAAGGGAAGTTAAATTATGCTGTTTTTTTCTTTTATTTTATTTTCGTATCAATAAAATTAACGTTCGAAGTTTAAGCTAGTCCAGGTACGAAGATAGAAAACTTGTCATTGTTCTTAAACTGAAATCAGATTAAGAAACAAAGTGATTAAGCGAATTTAGAAAAGTTAATTATTTTTATTGGTTGATGTCTTTTTACTTCATAAACTGCATTAATTGCTTCTTAAGATATTATGACTGTGAGCTGAGCCGGCCGGTTATGAACGTGAGCTCAGAGGGCTGTTCATTTTTAAATTTAGATTATTAAATTATTTTGAAGAATAGACAGAAAATGAATTTCTAGTTTTTTTTACGGACTTAGTTTATTACTCATTTTTACTAATTCTACTTTCGTTATACTTTTTTACATATAAAAACTATGATTTGCTTTATTCTATTCTTTTTGATTTTGCCCTCAAATGATGATAAAATATTCTGATGAGCCCTTCGTTGCTCTAATATAATAATTTGAATTTCTGATGAGGACATTTTATTTATTAAGAAAATAATATTTTGCAAAGTCCAAATTTAATGCAAGAACATGTAACCCTATGAGCATCATTCATCAATTAATAAAATTAATAAACTTTATTTAAATTTGAAAATACTATGAGGGCATTTAATAGATTATTTAATTTGAGATTATTTAATTTGAATAATAAAGGTTGTCAGTTATAAGAAATAAATTAACCAAGAACCTTTCGTGTTCATATAATTTTCAACACAGCTTCAGCATGAATAATCTTAGCCAACTTTAATTTTCGATTTGAGTCTAAATTAGAGATTCCAGTTTAGAAATTATGCGAATTCAGTGATTTTTTCATAGTTCAAACAATAGAAAATTCACAAAAACCCACATAATAAGAAGTCTCCTGTATTCAAGAAAATTAATTTGAAATAAAAATAATATGCTAGTAATATGAAGTGAAATTTTGTATATTCGCATATAATTTTTCAACTTCAGCAAGACTTTTCATTTTCGACTCTATACGAATTTTTATTAGAATTAAAAATATATTTATACAAAGATACATATTATCGAAAATGAACTTTATTAAAAAACATGTTTCAAAAAGAACGAATAAAGTATAAAAAATCATTTAGAGAAAGGTCACTATTGGGAAGTAAAAATGCTGTTTTACTAAGAACGTCGTTAAAATTTTGGTCGGTAAAAATTGATGGGTGTTTAATTTTCAGAACTTCAGTTTGATATTCAATCATATTTTTCGATTTACGGAATATCCAATCTTCTTTCAAATAGTTTGGAATGTCACTATATTCATTATAAGTAATATTTACGTCGTTTTTAAAGAAAAATACCATGTGAGATGCGGCATGATGGTCCCGTATCGTGAAATCCAT